AGGGTATGAGCTGGGTATTGAGATCCACCCTCAACTCAGTTTGAAGCTGTATGAGACCCAAGAAGGATAGTTATAAAAAAGGTGGAAGGTGAAAAAAGTTGTTTGTCCTTTAGGCATCTGAACCCTTCCTCATGTGCCTGTGCTTCCCGTGAAGCACACATGGGGGACAAAAATTCTTGAAACAGGCTGCAAAGTTGAGTGAAATGAATGTCACCCTAAGTTCTAGACCTCTGTATGTTTCAGGTATGAGCCATGCTAGAGGATTTCACCAATGCTTCTGACTTGCAATGACACAGGGTATTATGGATATGCACAGAAAAAACTGCATGCCAAAGAGAAAAGATACTAGTCAACTTCAGGGGCCTTGATGTTTGGTAGGCAACTGTGTAGGGAGTTGCTGGCATATGAATTTCTTGCTCTCCTCCACATACTGAATGAGAGGAGAAAACTGACCAAAAAATCATTGTGGTCTGTGAGAAAATGAGCTGCAGATTACAGCAGATTACAACATATTTCAATCTACTGGGTAGATTGCAGGAAAGAAAGTACTAAGATGCCTTTAACTGTGTACCACAGGTGCAGAAGCACTGTATTCTTTGATCCTCTATTTCAATATTATGTAAAAAAATTTAAAAAAAAATCTTTGAGCTCACAAGCATTGAAATATAAATATTTCCTGGCATATTAAAACTGTGATTCCTAATGGAAACTTTTATTATCAAGTTGACTTTTTTAGCAGAGCAAGGCCCCATCAGAGAATAAAAGTAATTTGTTTTATAAAGAGAAGTTCTACTATAGTTACTCCAGAAATCTTCAGAAACTAGTAGAGCACTATATAAAATTATCTATTTTAGAAACTAAAATTTATGGGTTTAGTATGCTACATGATACTGGGAAAAGTTTCAAGAGGGAATTGATTTGTTTCAGTAGAGTTCTAAAATAAGTTCCATTAGATCAAACACTATTTATAGAAAACAACATTCACACACAACAGTTTCACGGCAAAACATCATTATGTATTACATAGCACCTTCTATGCTATTAAGAACTATTTGAAAATTGTGCTTTCCATCGATTAAATCTCAGATAAATGAAGCTGTTCTTGAATAACTTAAAAAATGATTTAAAAAGTTGATTGTTCATGTCAGATCTTCACTATAGGAGAAAAAAATATCTAAATATTTCTTTACTGGATTATTCAGCACAATCAGGAGCTATTGCAGTCATGAAATCAAGAATGGATTAGGAACAAAATAGGGTAATAAGGAGTTAAGCTGTATATGATAACATTCAACCTCTAACCTTGTGACCAGCAAAATATCTGTATTCTTGATCAATTCAAAATTGAAAAAAAAAAGTGGAATAAATTAGGTGGCTCAAGACACTAATTCTCATGTAACTAATACCAGCTTTGGATAACAGATAAGGCTGTAATTGAGATTAGCAGAACCCCTAAATTTTTTACATTCCTCCATTGTAGTGCTCCTTAGCTTTCCAAGAGCTTAGCTTTGTTTCTCAGTAACTCAGATCTCTGATGATATGGTACCACAGAGAAAAGAACAATTTCACCTTTACAAGGGAAGATCTGTAAACAATGAGTAGCATATTGTTACATGATTTAAGTATGAGACGGTAAAAGCCTACTGAGTCATGCACAACAATCTGGCTGAGCTTTGAATCTGAATTTGGCCCATTGCTTTTGTCTAATACCCTATACGTTTGGTTCTGTAATATGCCCTTTCAAGTTTGCAGTGTAACAGGGATAGAAAAATAGTTGGATAACTAGTTAATATTTGGAAAGCATTTGTGTATTCCAGATGTTTTTGTTGTATAAAACAATTTAAATTTAATGTTCAGTGCAACAGGTTAATTGTCTGAATTGGCAATAAATCACAAAGATCTTATTTTTTTAATAATTTTTTTTCGGCACAACAGTGATTGTATCATTTTTTTCACACAAATCTTTAATGAAATATGTAAATATGTGAAAGCTTTGAAAATCATGAAGACAGAAAGAAGAATAATACAGAAAAAACTGGGCGACAAAATTTTCATTTGATTAAAATGTCTCACAATAATACATAAGACCATAGAGGGTAAGTCCTTTCTGCTGTCTCAGATTGGCAGCCCATTCGGAAGCAACTCTTTGAGAATATCCTACCAATTTTGTTTTCAGGGACTCCATGCAGGAGACATGAAAATAAATCTTAGTATTGCTGACTATGGTCTGCAATATTGCAGCAATAAAAGATCTAAAAAGCCCCATCAAAATGTGATAAGGAATAGATTTGCTCAATGGTATTGGATCCATAAGTGCTGGCATGCTGTGTATGACAGATGCACAGCATGCTGTACATACGTGACTCCCACATTGCTTTTCTGACTGGTGTCACCACATTGCCTCACTTACATACTAAAAGAAAGGAAAAGCGTGTCCATTCAACTGTGTTCAAGAATTGGGTTAAACTGATTTAAAAATACAGATAATGTTCATATTAGCCCTCCATCCTGTGTTCCATCCAGAATCTACACTGGCTTCTGTGCTCTTCTGACCTATGTGATTCACAGGACTCAGTAGTGACAACACTCTGTGTATTTGTAGACTATCTTCAGATTCCATTTTGGTGGCTTCTAGGAGAATCTGTCTCTAACTGTGCATGAATCTGCCAGTTCCTCACATCAGCACTGACAGTCCACAGGCAATCTAGTGAGTCAAACTAATTAGGAAACATTTTGGGGTTTTTTTAATTCTTCATTTGCATTCTAAGTCATTTTAGATACCTGATTGCTCTTAGGCATGCCACAATATTCTCAGACAAAACAGACAAGGCTTTCACCACTCTAAGATGAAATTTGACCAAATATTTATGAGTCACTTAAAACTTCTATGTGATTATTTGCTTCACTCAACACTCTTTTATAAGTTAATTATGCTAGTGTATTTATTACATCCAGTTCCCATTTTGACAATGCACAAGAATTATGTGAAATTGTTTCAAATCAATAGTGAACTCAGTGTGTCAAACTGGTTAGTGGTTGTTACTACGATTTTATATTCCAGCACTGTTGGCTTAACTGCTTTCCAGTACATTGTATGTATTATTTTACAGCAAAGCTTCAGGGACTTTTTAGCTGCTAAAAACCTCTTGCAAATTCATTCTGTTTTGACTGGACAACAGGATATCAGCAGGGGATGGCTGAAAATCAGCAATAACAAAAAAACTCTTTCCCTGTAGGAGACTCAGACTCAGCTGGAAAGCAGACTTCTCTTTGGATGAGAATTTTTTATTATGTAGAAAGAATAACTGCATAAGGGAGAAAACAACAACTGACTTCACATAACAACAGCACAAATTCATCTTGATTACTTTCACGTAGAAAGTAATTATTATAATATTTCAGAATATGAGCAATAAACTACTTTCTCAGGTATTCTTTTAAACTACTTTTTCAGGTACTCTTTTCTGTTTCTTAGGATAAAACACCCCAATGTGACTGTGTCACTTAAACTTTTGTAAAGGGAAGAAAGTCCTCTGAGTGATCTTATGCATACTCTGATTAGATTATGGAAGTGACAGTCTTTGCACATGTAACTGGCGTGTGGAAGTCTTCAGGATTGAAAGGAAGAGGGAAAAAAAAGCCTAGATAGTCTGCCTTCACTGTAATCACGTGTTTGTAAACAAATGGTACTATCCTGATTTAAAGAAGTTGACTGGATGACAGAGCTACATCCAGCACAGAACTTAATGGAACAAATGTGACAACAGATGTTAGAATTGCAGGAGGACTCCAACAGCAAACAGATTGCCATTGTCCACAGTGAAGGACACAAAACAGTGACAGAGACAGGAAATTCTGAGCTTTCGTATGAGCTGGCACATTGATGGTGAGTGTCATTTCTAGTAAGACTAGTTCTTCAAGATGAACCAAGCCTGCCAGAGTTCAAGAAGCATTTGGACAATGCTCTCAGGCATATGAGAATCACATCAGGAGTGGTTCTTGGGGCTGCCCTGTGCAGGATTATGAGCTGGACTTTGATGATCCCTGTGGGCCACTTAGAAGAAGACCTAGGATAGCCTGTGATTCTATGAAACTGGGTAAACCACTAGGTTTCCTTTAGAAAGCTCAAACTATAACAGCTGTCCTTAAAGAGCACTAGGTAAGCTTCATACAAATACATGGTGGGCCTCTGATTTCCACACAGACATTAAGGATAACCTGCAGGATTCTTCTTTTTCTCTCAATCTAGTATGCTCATGTTCTTCTTGTACTGGGGAGTCCAGAACTGGACACAATAATCCAGATATGGTCTCAAAAGTGCCAAATTCATGTGAAGAATCACTTTCCTGGATATGAAGGCTGATGACTTGCTTTAACTCAGGAGTGCACTGTTGACTTTTGGTCATCTTGTTGTCCACTAGAGCCACCAGGTCCTTGTCTCTAGAGATGCTTTTCAGCTGATGGCTCCCAGCCTGGAGTTTTTCTATTCCAGAGGTTCAAGTTTGAATTTGGGCTTTTTTCTTAGTTGTTGTGGTTTCTGAGGTCCCTAAATCAAATTATACTCAACTCTCCATTAACTGAATTTTTTATAGATAAAAAAAAAAAAAAGTTAGTTAAAAATAAAAGCAATGAAAAGAGATTTTCTTTCAGATGAAAAAAATTTCTCCAATGAAAGGCTTGTCAAACACTGGAACAGGCTGCCTAGGGAAGTGGTTGAGCCATCATCCCTACACATATTTAAAAGAAATGAAGATGTGGCACTGAGGGATATGGTTCAGTGGTAGACTTGGCAGTGCTGGGTTAACAGTGATCTTATCCAACCTAAAAGGTTGTTTCATTCTATGATTCTATGTTTCTTGGAAGCATTGCAAACCTGCAAGGCTGCATTTCACATACTGCTGGGTAACATCTGAATGAATCTGGTGATTCTAATAAATAACCCTTGGTGCCCTACGTGAGATAACGATTTTCAGCTAATAGAAAGTCAGTAACTAAGACACAATTCTTTAGTTTATCTTTAGACCCACCATTTTGCTTTGACAGTGCAACTCTGTAAAGGTTTCATTTTAGGAGGAAAGGTAGGGCTGAATGAATAATCTCAATTATTTTTTCAAGCTTCAAGTTTCTTAGATCAGATATTTTCATACTGAAAGCAGACATTTTTACTTGTGAGCCTGATATCTGTTCTCCTTTGTGATACTTAGCTTTATTTACAGCCTGTAGGTATGGGCAGCTACAATCATTTCAGGAAAACAAGTTACTAGTATTTCACAATTATGAGGCTATTACTGGTAAAACGTATTGCTTTCAAGTTCTCCATGGACCACAAATGATGGTAGGCTAAACAGCCTTTAATCTTCTTATTGGCATGAATTTTACTCCTCTGCAAACTGGCAGTGCTCTGCCTGAAATAAAAAAAAAAAAAAAAAAAGCAGATGATCTTATTTTTGCTGTGATTACTTGCATCACAGTTTCTCCTGTTGATGGCAAGGCTAATCAAGGTGATGGAAACCCACACACTTGATTCTCCCTCAGCATATTAAAAGATGTCAAGAGGCAAGTCCTGAGCTACTTAAATTACATAAACTTCAAATGCAAGAAAACAGTACCTGAATAGTAGTTAACAGTGCAGATTAACTTAGGCACATAGTAATTATTATTTTAATGAGAATTCAGTAACTTTTTTAATCTGGCACTCAGCTTATATTTATGTTGGTAATGCCATATACAAATTGAGTTTTAAAAAAATCATGTTTTACCCTGGCCAGATAACCAGATATTTAACATAACACACTTGCATGATAACGTGCTGGGAATTTAATTTGGCAAATTGCAAAATTTGTTTTACCCTGATACACTCTCTATACAGATGCATATTTCAAACTGTTCTGCAGTGATTCAAAACACTAGCTGAGGAAAGATATAAGACTCTTTAAAGGTTAGTGAGAGATAAATTCCTTGAGGAAAACAAAGGGATGTGGAATGTCCTTGAGAGATGCTGCTGAGACATTTTCAATTGACAAGACCTGTTAGCAGTACCAGAGGCAGCAGACTTTAGTGATCTTGTACTCTTACTAATGCTTATACTTTTGTGCCTAGATCGAGCCTCAGGACAGAGACTGCTTGTTTTTGTTAGCTTTTGTTTGTTATTTTACTGATTTCCCATTGTCAAAGAATCTAGAGCAAACTCTGCACTACACTAGAAAGAATGTAGTCCATCCTGTGCATAACATAGTAAAGCACAACCTCTGATAGAGATGGTCTAACTGATGCAGAAAATCATCCCACCTTCTCCTAAGAACTCTTGAGATGTATAAGTCCATTCCTGTGGCTTGCCATATTCTGAACCAAGCATTGATTACCCCCTAGCCCCAATGAGTATGGTGCATCTCTGCTTACAATCTAAAAGGAAAAAAAAAAAATTATCTGACCAGTCATATTTTATCATATTCCTGACAACTCTATCCTCCTGCACTCACAGAGTACTTTCAGTCATGAAACCTGTGCTAGCAAAGCTCAGCTTGCAAATATGGGAAGATTCTGCTTTGTACTTCTGCATGTTTTCAAAGCTGCCTGTGAAAGACAAGGGGTGAGGGCTGAAGTTAATCATTAAGAAAACTGGGATTCTAGCACGAAGAACTGGATCAACATAAGCTCTACTCACCCACCATCATGGAAAGGAGTAACTTACGGTCTTTTTAACTGCAACTGCTTTACTCTTCTTTTGGTATTCTCATGGAGCTGGGCTGCATCGTGGCTGGCTGAGCTGATGGGAAAGGGAAGACGGGTACCTGTTTAAAAAAAAAATTACGGTCACACATTATGTATAAACCAGCCCGGTAAAAGTGTTCAGCAGGATCCTCAGGAAAACTGAAAGCCCAGACCAGTGCTCAAAGCATCTCTAATTTGATTATTTCTGCTTGTTTGTGAAAGGAAATCTAAAGGTCACTTAAGTCAAATCTGGTTTGAGACTCTTGAAGTAGCAGCGCAAACTATTTCTTTGACTTGAGTATTGCTAATGACTTGCTGCAGTCTCATATTGCCTCTCCTGTTGGCACAAAGCTCCTTTGGCAGCTGTGATGAGTGAAAAATCTTCCCCTTTGGTAGCTGTTGTGTGGTCATTTCTACTAAATTTCCAAGCAACGTATTCTGGTGTGTTTTCCAGCTCATTAGAGAAGGTGATGCATAATCCTGAGACAGAAGTCTGGCCCAGGTTTCTGGACAGCAAAGCACTGCACAACATAAATACAAAAGTGTCAGAACTGCTTATTGGGAACACTTCCAGTTAACTCACACCAGGGTGCCAAGGGATTTAGTCTCAGACAGCATCTATAACAGACCTGCATATACTTGTGCCTTTATAATAACATATAGCCACAGAAACAGCACTCAGAAGACCAATGTCCCAGGCTATTACAAAATTAAGAAAAATTATTCTTGACAAGGTACAGGTTGTACACTTTCCAAGATCGCAGAATCATAGAATCCTAGAGTGGTTTGGATTGGAAGGGACCTAAAAGATCACCTAGTTCCAACCCCTCTGCCACAGGCAGGGACACCTTCCACTAGACCAGGTTGATCAAAGCCCCGTCCAATCTAGCCTTGAAGACCTCTGGGAATGGGGCATCCACAGCTTCTCTGGGCAACCTATTCCAGTGCCTCACCACTCTCACAGTAAAAAATTTCTTCCTAATATCTAAACTGAATCTACCGTCTGTCAGTTTAAAAGCATTACTTCTTGTCCTATCACTTTATGCCCTGGTGAAAAGTCCCTTTCCAATTCTCTTGGAGGCCCCCTTAAGGTACTGGAACATGCTATAATGTCTCCTCAAAGCCTTTTCTTCTTCAGTCTAAACACTCCAACTCTCTCAGTCTGTCTTCTTGTGCATGTTTCATAGACCTGGTGCGTTGACAGTCAGCAATGAAGAAGAATGATTGAGATATAGATCCTGAAGGACCCACATCTGTCAGGAATATCTCTGTGACATGGCACAGGATGCTGGAGAGGGAAGTCCAGGCATCAGATGCCTCTTATGAGTCCTTTCATTGCTTTGAAGTGTTTTTGCAGTGTAAAGATGAGGGGAAAACTCCGTTAAGCATAGGAAAATATTTTTAGGCAGGGTGTCAAATACTGCAACACATCCTAATCAGTTCCAAGCCTGAGAAATCCTATTCTGGATATACCTTACATAACCAGATAGTACCTGAAGAATTACTATAGCATCATTTCCTGCTTTGCATTTACTGTAGAAGATCAAACAGCTGATCATAGTAATACTTCATTTGTTTTCTAGTTAAAATACTCAAAAGAGTTTTTATTCTCCTTGAAAGCAAGCTGTGTTGCAGTAGTTGCTTAATGAATTAACAACAATGCTCACCATCTTGTCTTCTTCTTGGTAGGGGGAAAGCAGCCCAAGCTCTTCCCAAGGAACACAATCCCATTTCACTTCATGTGCCCTGGCTTTGTACCACAGTAGAGGAACTCAGAGACAAAACTGTTGCATCTCTTGAAAACTAATGTTCATAGAAGTTTTACATTCCAACATCGGGATTAACAAGTTATTGTTAATATTTTCTTCAATTTATACAGGCATAAGTCTTTAAATTAGGGAGGTGCATCAGAAAGTAAAGTGAGTCCACTGTTTAAAAAAAAAAAAAAAAAGTAAACATTTATTTCTAGAAGAATTGCTTGCTGCTCCTCTTTTAATTTGCTTCCACATATTTTACTGCTTTTTTTCCCTACTCAGCATTATCCCAGTAAATTTTTCCGGTTACGTCAACTAAAATATATTGACTAGTCTTCTATGTCTTTTACAAACATTCATCTGTAGTGTTTGCTCTTCACTCTTTGCATTATTAAATAATGAGATTATAAAACCAGCATTTAGAAACTTTGTAAAAAGAACAGTCAAACCAATTATGAGTTTGAAAACACTTTAACCTTCATTTTCCACGTTCTATATTGCAGTGACAAATAATAATCTACCAGTGGGAGACCTTTCACTGTCTTGGTTTTTTTTTTCTAGAAATCTTGCATATTGGAAGTGATTTAAGGTGTGCTGCCTCTTTTCCCTGCCAACAGGCAGCTAGTTTCAAACTACCCGTGGTAGTTTCAAACCAGCCATGCTGCTGATGTGCATGGCAGTTCTGTAGGGAACTCTGCAGTGGCAGTCATGGTGTTGTGCCTCTGACAATAATTTCCTGCTAACTCATTTACTGGAAGTTTGAAAATGCCTTGAAAGAAGACAGGCCTCTGCTTTTATCATTCCCAAAGTTGGAAGGATGGGGGAGAAAGAGTGTGTGCTGTCATTACAGTCATGCGGATTTTTCTTCCCCTGTAACTAAATGTCAGCCTTTTAAAAATCCAACTTAAAGACTCATTTTAACAACACACATCAAAGGCAGATTCTCAGGTGAGTTGGATGGTGTGGAAAAGTAGACAACAGATAGTGACTTACAGATGTGGAGAGCATCCAGCTGAGAAACCACACTTCTGTGTTAATTGCAAAAGGACTTCAAGAAAAGCTGAGAGTTTAATCTCCTCTTTGTGCTCTTGGTCTATTTCCCCATTCCGGAATGGGGAAAAAGTTGGTTTCACCTTTCAGTTCTTATGCAACAGGACAAATTTATAAAAATGTTTACATTTTTTCCTGAAGGTTTTTGCTCTGGATATGGCTATTATAAAAGTGCTGTAACAACAAGAGTTTAAAAAAAAATTGTTTCATTTCCCTTAGATTGTGCAAATAACAGTACTGTGCACACATCCAGTCGCCTCTGCCAGTACGACTAACTGAGTTTTAAGCTGAATAAGAGGCTCTTTACCAACTCAGTCGGTTCTCCTTTCTTAATAACTACATTCTCCTAGAACTATCATTTTTTTGTCCGAAAAAAAAAAAATTCAACGAAAAAAAGAGAAGCAAAGAGATGGAGAAAAGCATGGACCATAGACAAGGTTAGTTCAGTTGCCAGCTCTTTGAATAAGGAAACAGAAGGCAGAAAGCAGAGCCTGTGTCATGTAATTCTTTTGTTGTTTCCTTTGCTTTTCAAAGTCTCTTGCCTATTTGATATCTAGCAGATAGATGGTGTAGCCGTTTTTATGCCAGAGGCTTACCTTTATATATTCCTTTTTAGAACTATATTTCATTGTGAAAGGCAAGAAAAACTTTACCTCCTGATCTTCAAAACAACTCGCAAGCAAAATGGCAAGCTATCATACCATCATTACCTTAATTTTCCTTTCTGAGACTCACTTTCCCTTTTTTTTTTTTTAGGTTGCACTCTCTCAATGAATGTGGTGCTACTTGATTTTTAAAGGTCAAAAACTCCTTGAATGGCATTACTGTGAACTCTGCAGCCATATATCATATGTGAATGGCTAATACACATAAGAATCAAGAGATATATTTCATGATTGACAGCCAGGCTTATGAATTCATTTTATTATTCCTATCACCTCCCCAACCCCATGAAAACAAATTTCTACTAGCTACTGTTATTTTAAGAAAAGAGTAGTGAGAGTATATACTGTCAGGCTGACATAAGTCACCCAACTCTACTAGCTAAAGGTTTGAGTCTGCAAGCTGTTTCTTGTGGGTGGATCTCTTGCTTAGATTGAGAAGCCTGGAGAATTTAAACTGAAATCAGCTACAGCTAAGTTATAAGACAAAAACTCTTACTTTAAAAGTTATTCAAGTAAAGAACCACTTAAAGAGTGAAGTCACTTTGCATATTATTATTATTATTATTATTATTATTATTATTGTTACCACTTTTCATTTGATAACAATTAAACATACAAATGTTCTCTGTATTTATTTTTTGTGCGTGTTTGTCTCAGTATGGCAATAAGAAGAGGTTTTAATAGCTACATCTACCTGGATGAAATCCAAAATTTGAACCAAATATCCTATCCTTTTCCTTGAAAAGCTATGGACAAAAGCAGAGCAGGGGAGCCAGAGATGAGGAGGGAACTAAAAATATTGCTAATACAGTTGACAGTTTCATTCAGGCTCATCCCTCTAACCCAAGGGTGTTTGGCAATGATTCAGTTATAATAGGTGTTCTGTACTCTTCTTAACTAGGACAAAATAGCAGATTTTGTCTGGTTCTTGTGCTATTAAAGAAAGGAAGGAAGGACACTTTTCTGCATCAGTTTCTGAAGCAAAACATGACAGATTAATTTAAAATAATTAAAAATATTAATTAAAAATAATGCCCATGGCATTCTGCAGAAGAGAGTATTGATTTCTTCTGGTGGCTGTCCTTTTGCCTGCAAATGTGGACTGCTCTCTTTTACCCACTGGAGGGTCCTTCTGCCTACAGAGAAAACATTTAGCATTCAGGAAAGGAGAATGAAAAACATTATAAACTTGCCATGATTTTTCACACTTTCTCAGTCTAGACTGGTGTAAGTGGCTGTCACGCAGAATCAGGATCGGGGCTCTGCTGTGCTGCAGAAGCAGTCCATGTCCTGAGCACCCTGCAGGAAACTAGTCACTGTAGAAACCTGGGTATTACATCTTGCTAGGGGGCCAGCCAATAAAACCAAATAGTCGCATTTTTTGCTGTATAAAAATCTAAGCATGCACAATTTCCATCATTCATTCAATTTTCTTGTTTCTTCTGAGTTAGAAGTCAGGGACTCATTTGCAGGATTTAACCGGTAGTGCCTGTCATGTTGAGCTGGAAACACCTCTAGAACGTGTCAGAATTGTAGTGCTTACAATGCCCACAGGAAAGAGTTGTCATCCCACAGGCAAGTGAGAAATTGAGTCACTTTATCATCATCATCTCCTACAGCACAGCCAAGTGTCCTAATTATAACATCATTCCATATTCAGAATCATCTAAGTAAAATGAAGCCTGAAAGATAAGTGCCTTGCCGGCTCAACATACTGGCTCAGATTTGAATTATGGACATCTAGGCTGGGTCATGACCTGCAGGATGACCTCAGGAAGTACTGTAGGCCAAAGTAAGGGCTATTCAAGATTCACCTGATGAAGTGCTTTATCTTGAAGAGAATGGATCATGGCCATCACTGGGAATTTTCCACACAAAGCTCCCTGTAGTCACTAGTACATACAGTGACTCAACACTACATTGGTTTACTGAGTTTTCCTCCCAATCAAAGGAGCTAATCTGATTACGTAATGGCCCTTAGAAAGCAAATTTAAAAGTAATCATCTGTCCTTAGCTCAACCACTTTTCCTTTCAGAAATGTTTTCCCAAGAGCTCAGCTCAGATGAATGGGATGTTGTCCCATACAGAGCTGTATGGCTTGCCTACAATTTCCACCCACCAGCCTGAAGATGTTACTGATAGTTAAAAGTGCAATACAGCAAAAAGCAAGAAAACCCTCCTATTACAAATGCAAGAAAATCCTCTTTCAGTTACACAACTGTCACCTGAGTAGAAAATTACAGGTATTGCAGATTTTTGTGGTTTGTCAGCCTCTTAAATATCAGTTGTGTTTAAGGTCAGTGAAAAAATAGAAGAAGGAGACTGACCTGTTATATATAAAATAGTGATTCTTGGCCAACAACTGAGTGAGATAACTAAGCTGGTAAGAGCATCTCTCCCAAAGATGTATGTATTAGAACTGTTGATTTGCGTGTTGATTTGATTGGGTGAAAAGGTTACACAAAGTCTCTTCAGCGTTCCTTATTAAGGAGACCTTTTCCTTTCACTTGATTATGATTACTCTCAGTCTTCTTGTACACATAAATTTCAAAATATAAAGTGGTATTTAAAAAAAAAAAAAAAGGCAACTAACAACCTGTTTTATTTAATCACTCCAGAAGAGCATTTTCTGTTTGTCAAACATCAAAGAATTATGGATAACTGTGGAAAATATGTATATTGCAATGTACACACAATGACATCAGTGATGTATTTATTTCTACACTGCAGAAAACTCTGTTAACATGAAAACATCTAAAGACTGAACTGTTACAAAGACATTTGAGAGTTCTGAAATGGAGTACAGTGCAGAATTTTCTGGTTAAGCTGCATTTCATCATGAAGTGGCCAATAACTGAAGTAGAAGCTCTCCCCACTTGCGCTGGATAAGATAAAGCAGAGTTGACATGAGCTCTCCACCATTCCTGGCCATCATCCTGCCAACTGGACTACTGACTGGCTGGCTTAGGCTTCTCCCTCTTCAGCATCTGAGTGCTGCAAATCTCATTCTACGATTTTTACCCTTTCCAATGCAATTTACAGAGAGTGTCAGCAGCAGATTTCCTTCTGGAACCTAACTTTCAAGCTCTATATAATTTGGCCCCTCTTTGAATCTACTCCACAAAGTCCTTTTAAAATCTGGTTTAATGTAAACCTTAACACTCCATTCTGTATTATCCGGACCCACTTTTAAGTTCCTGAAATCTAATGGATGCTGCTAGACAGTCTTTGCACAGATATGTGGGGCAAGTAACTCGGCTATGCTTGCACTCCAGCTCAGAAGAATGACAAAAGCACGCAGGTTTGCTTTAAAACATCTTCTCTCTCTTTTTTAATTTATATGAGAATTCTACCAATTCATTAAACTTGTTAAACTTTACAAGTAAATAAATTATGTCCTTGGCAAATCTCTTCTGTTCTGTAGCAAAAGTATCTTCCTTGCTTCTGAGCACAGTTTTAGATTTAAAATAGTCCCTCAAAGGTATTTCTCAAGTAAACCTTTCAAAGACCTTTATAGGGTAACCTTCCTCTTCTCCCCCTACTTTGTACCAATGCTTATTTAAATTTTAAGTTTATAAGAAGTTTGATACTACAATGTTTTTATATTCATGCTGAGCTTTCCAACAAAATAAAACTTATATGTACCAGTTCTGCCTTTCATTGTATAAACCTATTACTTAGATTTTAGGGGGGTTGCTTTGGGTTGGGGTTTTTTTGGTGTTTATGTGGGGTTTTTTTGTTATACCTCATCACAGCATTGTCAGGGAAAGCAGCAGGGTGCTGTTTGTCCTCTGTAATGTTAGCACGTTCTTTTTTCTCTTTTTTGGATCTTTGGGCACAGAATACTCTTTTATTTTTCCTACTGGCAATGCTATGGGCACTTCTCCTAAATGATAGTTCCCTGAGACCAGAGAGGTAGTCCACAAAGCCGTACTAAGCCATACAATTCAAGTAATTTCCAGTAAAAGTTTTGATGGCGAGAGAAGAGAGGACAGATAGTTCAAAAAGGGCATAGCAGGCACCAGTGTTGCTGGCGCTGGCACTAGGAAACAGATGGTGCTGGGAAATGACCAGGCCAGAAAACAATAATTGAACTCTGGCTCAGAATTGCAGGTGACCAACTTTAATAAAGCTGAGAAAGGAGGTGCTGCAGACTGCAGAGAACAGAAGAATCAGCAATTAAAGCAATTAAGTACAGGAGTGAGACAGCTATTTTTGCCAAGGTTTTTGGAATATCTGCCCTGGAAACTGCTATAACTCTTCACATTGAATCCCAGCCCAGGGGCACAGTGTGAAATGCCAGATCTCTGCAGAGGTTTTAGCACAAGTTCACAACTCTTCCACCTCTGTATCCTTGCTAGCCTTTTCAGGAAGAACTAATTGC